TAATCATCAGTTGTGGGCCTAATAATGTTATCAAGACAAAACACTAGTTACAAACTGCAACTCTCACCTCTCTCATCACACAGCGACGTGTCAATGAGCTTTAAACACAGTAATAAAGAACTGGGAAATCTGCAAAAGTGGGCTTCACTCTTTCATGTTTCATCCCACAGTTTTTCCTGTGTGTGTTTGTGCGTGAGAGATAGTTTAGGTAAGAATCTCACCAATGAGCTAAAGAATGTGAGGAGTGCTGCCTGGGTCGTGTCCAAACAGAGAGGCAGTTATTGTCAGACCTCAGGCTCTGTGTTTGTGTCGTTCCTAGAGAGCAGCAGAGGAACTGGAGCATGTTAAACAGTAACTTGGATCTGGACACGTTTGCATGCAATTCCACTTCTCTCGGACATTTTAATAAAATATGCCACCCTTAAAAAAAATCTCCCTCAAATCTTCACTTCTATGAAGAGCACTGAAAAATAGAAATAATGTCTCTTGTGCAGTCTCAGTTTGAGCAGAGTCACGCTAACTCAGCCTGTAGCCTGTTCACGAAGCAAACAAAAATAAAAAAAACACTAAAAAAGGGAAATTAAAGGAAACCACTCCAAAAATGGAATTTCCCTCCTCCAGTCCCATGTGTGCAAAGTCCACGAGGCTTATATCCACAATCTTTTGTTTATCCCTGAGATAACGTTTCAGTCTGATGGTGCAGGCGTTCATAAAAATGTCAAAATGTCCTGGATGCTCCACGGAAGCTTCTTGCAGGCCTGAGCAGCACAGGTTTCTGACAGCAGGCCTAAACAAACTGCCAGCAGTGACAGACGTCTGCTGCTGTTCAGGATCACTGGAAAGGAGATAAAGGAGAAACGAAAGACAAAATGAGAAATGTCAGCATTTTGGTTTCTTCAGAAATCCCCAGACTTGCTGTATGTTAACCCTCTGAATGCTAAACTGGGCTTAAAAATCAGATTGTACAGAGCTAGAAAGTTGTCAGATTTGAAACTTTGTCAGTCCTTGAACTACTCATCTTTTCTGTTGGGAAACTTAACCACATCTAAGCTTAAAACGGTGATATTTCCTAAAAATCGCTTTATTCTACATGTACCATTTAAGTAAATCAGCAAAAATAAAGTGTTTGAAGTAACCATATTCTGTAAAAAACATAAAATTTTTCATTTTCAGCTGAACTGCAGGCTGTGTTTAAACAGAGCAAAGAGGATACATTTATGGAAACTAAGTAAAAATGTCAGTAGTTAAATAGCTACAGTATGGAGAATCACCTTTTTTTATTTATTTATTTATTTTTACTTAGTATTGGTAACACCTGTAGGAACTTAGGAAAATTTTGTACGCGGTAATAAAGATTTTTTTTGTGCCCCCATCTTTGTAAAACAGATTAGGAAATTCAACTTTTTTTCTCTATTTTTATAATTTATGATATTATAGCAGGCTGCAAGGTGGCTTGGTGGTTAGCACCGTTGCCTCGCAGCAAGAAGGTCACCAGTTCCCGTCCTGGTGAGGACACCCGGGATCTTTCTGCGTGGAGTTTGCATGTTCTCCCCGTGCAGCGTGGGTTCTCTCCAGGTTCTCCGGCTTCCTCCCACACAGTCCAAAAACATGCTGAGTCTAATTGGTGATTCTAAATTGTCCGTAGGTGTGAATGTGAGTGTGCTTGGTTGTCTGTCTCTAAGTGTAGCCCTGTGATAGACTGGTGACCTGTCCAGGGTGTCCCCTGCCTTCACCCTAAGTCAGCTGGGATAGACTCCAGCCCCCCATGACCCCTAGTGAGGATTAAGCGGTGTATAGATAATGGATGGATGGATGATATTATAACTTTGTTATGGTGCTCTACAAGACTCTTCTCGCCAAGGTTGTTCTGTTTCTATAGAGGTGCAGGACTTTATATTGCAGGAAAAAATGAGGATAAATGTGACAAGAGTAAATAAAAACAGAGAAACTGTTTAGAGGTGAAGACATGCTGTATGTTAATGTGGAATTATACAGAGAACAGTTTTTAACCCAACAAGCCATCATGACGCACATTCCTGCTGTTTAAACAGAGAAAAAAAAACAAGTGCAGCATAACATAAAGTAGAAATAGCTTGAAATAGGCACAACATTTCAGTGAAGCAAAATACAGCATTAAAAGACTCATTTCATACTCCTGTGCATTTTGCCCTCACACATACTTGTTGGTTATTAATACTGACGTAAACAAACTCCTCATCAGAGCACCAGACCGTAAATCAGTCAACAACACGTCATTGTTTTCACCGTTCACGGTCTGGCACCCAAACACAGTGAGCAGACTTTTCTTTCCAGGGATTCAGCCGTTGAAGAAATAATTACACAAAACAAGAAACAAAAACCTCTGTGTTATGTAATGAATGTATTTTCACTGTCTGGGTTCTCTGTGGTCAGAAGCACAGGAACAAGCAGGTTTTCTCAAACAAAGGAAGTGTAAGTTGCCACCTGCTGGTGCTTTAAATGGTGTTTGAAGAATAAAATTACCAGTCCTTTTCTGGTGTCTCATGGGATATGGTGTGCAATTCAAACGTTACCCCCAATGTCTCCTGAAATTATGTTTTTTTTTTCTTAGTTTTTGATGACTGGATTTGAAAACATCCTGCTCTATGATAGTGTATGAACAGTTTTCCCAGGAGAAGCTAGTTTTACATGATCAGTGAGTCTATAGATTAGTAAGTTGGGAGTAAAAGCTGACAGCATTTTTGGAAACAGATGTTGCTGCTGATGTTTAACAAGCAAAATAGCTATATGACATTCATCTGTACTGCAATCTGGACAAACAAAAGCAAAGCTACCTGGATGCCATGAGACAAAGTGCATCTTACCTCTGATGGCCTGTGAGTTTGAGGTGAGCACAAACAGCTTGATGAGGCCCAGACACAGCGGGGAGTAGTCGTGCTCCCAGATCACAGCGGGGATGAGCAGGACTTTGCCGTAGCAGGACAGCAGCAGGGCTCTGAGGAGCAGGCTGAGCTCCACGGTCCCACCCTGAAGACGACCCACCCACGCCCAAAGGAACCACAGCACGCTGCCGCAGAACGCTGAGAGCTCTGCAGGTCCAACAGAGAGACGTATCAGAAGGACTGGAAACCAGATCAAGGAGCGCACATGTATTTAATGGTAGTCATTAACGACAGAAGCGCAGCCTCCAGTGTGGATATTTGTTAGCAAAGGTCAGCATGTTAGCTCTTTAAAAGCAGCAGAATCAGCATGCAAGAGGTTCGGTGTTCCTTTTCGGTGTTTAACAACACAGTAAAGTGAAAATCCTCTGTTTTTTTAATTGTTCATTGGACTAAACAAGGTGATCTGAAGATGTCTTTGTTTGGTTATTTTCTGGCATTCTACACTAAACAAATGATTGACAAATTGAATAAATCACAGTTTAGTTTCACAACTGATGACAAGAATATATTTTAGTTGCAGATTGAATATGAAAACTATGATAGACTGATGAAAATTCTTTATATATGTGTTAAAGAACCATCTCTGTGAGAAAATACTGGTCAGATTTCAGGAATGTTTTGGGTGATCAGCCTGATCCTATAACATGTTCCCAGCTCTCGTGCTGCATTGCTAATGCACTCATATATCTTCTTATCTTACCAAGAGCAGCCAATCCAAACATGCCGTAGAACTCCCATTCCTTGGTGTATCTGATGATGTCAGCCGGGTCACTGCTCTGCTCCGAGCCGTGGAGCAGAGACCACCTGAGGTAGGCCTCACACAGCAGGCAGAACACACACAGCTTCCAGTGGATCTGGAGACCCAAAGATGAACATGTACAAACACATGCATGCTGTATACCTGGACAAAAACTCATGACAGCACCTGGATGAACTACAGTACAAATGGAAAAAGCAATCTCTGTCATTCTGCAGCTCTGATCATCATGTAAACATCTGGATCAGTGTACCAACAGTACCATAGGTTTGTGGGGAGTTCACTTTTTCCTCTTTTCGTACCCAGAAGAGACAGATACAACTTGATTTAGCTTTTATTTATCATTATTCCTATTAATAAGAATATTAATATGAGTAAACAGATGGAAAGTAGTCACAGCTGCCTGCTTTCGGCTATAAGGAGGATTAGGTTAATCTTGTATTTTATTTTACGGTAGTTGGTATTATGAAAGTCAAGAACATAGTTTTACAGTTTGGTGGTGATGCAAGAACAGCTTGCAAGTTAGGGATCAACTGATATGTTTTTCTTAGGGTTACAACTAACACTAGCTATTGGTAGAGACAACACACCTGACATTCAGAACCAATACACATTTGTCATAAAAATTAAAATCTTGGTGTCAAAATTTAGAACAACACTAACTCTACCGACAAAACTAAGCTGAAATGCATCTATCTACATATGTTTTATATATTGTTTATTCATAAGGACACTTTTCAGTATTTACCCTTAGTTATATAATCGAAAGGCTATTAGTCGTGATGCGTAACTGATCAGATAACACCATGGACACTGTAGACAGAGAGAGGCAGCTGCATCAAAGCCAAAGTCGCACATTTATCAATAAATTTTGTCATGTTTTGATAAGTGAAAACATGTAGAATATCAGCTTTGATAACCAGCTGGGCTGATAAGCAGTTGACCCCTCATGTATGCCAGAGAATTAGTGATGAATGCATGAATTCTACATCAGTAAAAAACTAACTCTAATCAATAGACACATTTACAATGAACTTAAAACAATAAACATTACTTACATTCAAGCTTGTGTTGAACAAAATGTGTCTAAAAGCCTGTGTCTTGCACAAAATGGCATCGATGAGGATGATAACTGGGTCGTACTCGATGTACTTGTCCACTGGCTTTTGGCAGGACTCCTGGAGAAACAGACACAATGATGACCCTCAGAACTACTTCATGAAGTGCTGCATCCAGCTTGTTTTGTTGTTGATTTATTGTGGTTAATATTTGCTATCATTAAGGTAAATATTGTGGAGGTGATGTGACAAAGACATGCCATCCAAGTGAAGCTTGCTTGTTATACAGCATCATTTTACAATTAGTTCAAATCTGCTGCTACATTCAACCACAACAGTGAGTCCTGATGCTACACACCAGGTCATCTGTCACCAACACCGCTGCACACAACACACCAAAAATAATAAAGAGACAACGCCCTTCAGGGTCTGAATCATGGACTTATCGTTATCTAAGTCGTCCGTTTTTTTATTGTCGTTATAGAGATGACTAAGAAGATATGTGGACAGTTCACATCTAATGGAGTGAGCTGTCAGCTAGCATCCTCGACACACACTAAACAGTGTAAAAACCAACACGTGACCGCTGAACTCACACATATAGTTATCTTTAGGATCCCGTTACTGTAATCCCTGTGGAGCTCCGCTGCTTTTTCGTTACATTCAACACACCTAAAAGCTTCTTTCTCCATTCTGTCACCTGTGAGCAGCTAACAGCAGCATGCTAACACAACAACAAGTCGGACGGTGTCATATCCGTCCGCCTTCAAAATAAAAGTATAGATTTGTTTGCCTTAGTGTTCTTTTTTCCACTTCAATTTCTCCCTGGCTGTATGTTTTTGATTGATTTTACACATTTCATGCGCCCCCTTTTACATTTTAGATAATAATATTGTATTACAGAGCAGCTATGGACTATACTGTACTCAGTGATAGTGTTTAAGTGCATTCAACTAAGCACTGTACATATTGCATTTCATCTTAGTGTTTCTATTTATTACAACATTATATTTCATCACTCTAATTTACATTACTGCTGTTGTTATTTCCACTTTTGGAGATTTTATTTTATTTATTTATGATATGCTAAGCTTAAAAACACAAGGCAATGTTTCATTTTAAGCTGAGCAACAGTACAGAAGTTAAAATAAGCTCTTCCTAACCTGCATGACATTTACCAAACACAATAGTGCACCACCAGCTAGAATTCAGTAACACAATAGAGTATTTTGCGTATTGTTTAACCAAAAGACAACTTTACAACACGCCTGTCTTTTGATACTTTTGATATATTTTATATTTTCTGTTATCTTGGGAGTAGCTCAACTTTCTTTTGAAAACATAGAAAAAAACATATAATAATACAAACATACATGCAGTTGTCACAACATATATTATTTATCATTAAAGTCGTCCTCAAATTTAACATGATGGGACCCATTAACTAATATTTTGTTGAACAACCCTTTGAGTCAATCACTGCAATCAAGTGTTTTCTGTAACTCTCAATCAGACTTCTGCACCTGTTGACAGGTATTTGGATTTTTGGCCCACTGCTCATCAGCAAAGTGCTATGATTTTTCTGGGACAGTTTTTTTTATTTTTTTTTAAATTATTATTCTTTACAACCACAATTCAAAAGCAATGTCTTATTTCACTAAATTTTAATTTAGAAATTTTTTATTTATCGTTACTTTTTTCAGTTTCCAGTTATTTGAATGACTATTGTGAATTTTGTCTTTTCTTTAATGGAGGGGTATGAATAAATTTGAGGATGACTGTATCTATTGATTGTGTTCAAAAACTAAAAAGCCAAATAATAATAATAATAATAATAATAATACACGTGATCTCTTGTAAAATAAAAGCTTGAAAATATATTTTAGAGAATTGCTGTATTTTTATGTTGTTTTTTTTTTCTGATGTATCAGCTGTATTTTAGCGAGTCAGCTGCCAGACTACTTACTTATTTATTTATTTATTTTAATACAAAGACTATGATTTCAAGGGGTTTCATAAATGACTAGAGAGGGATTTTACATTTTTATGGTATGCTTTAGTTATATTTTAAAAATTATGACGGAAACTACGTGGCCTGACGCTAGAGGAGCGGGGTCTTCTGCCGCGGAGCATGCCGGGAGCTGTAGTGTGTCCTCCTCTCCGGCGGCTTCTTGCTCGCATCCCGCAGATTCGCGCGTGAGGGGGGCGTGTCGGTCGGGTCGAGCTGCAGCAGCTTCCTCTGTGGCGTCACACATGTAGCACAACATGGCCCCCGCCAGCCGGGCTGTTGTTGTGGTAGCGCTCTCGCTGCTGTACCTGTGTCAGGCGATATTCTCCACCGAGTACTTCTCCACTCTCACTTTGTTCAACAATGAGCTCCACAAGCAGGGATGCAGCTCGCTGTCCGAGTGGGAGGACTACGCTGCTGACTGCGGTAAAGTGTCTCTTTTTCGCTCTTACTTTGCCACGTCCTCCCTGATAAAACTGTCACTGTGTAACCCGGTTAGCCTCGGCGCTCACAGGCTAACGTTAAGGAGCTAATAACAACAAGCGGTGACAGCCCGGGAGAGATAACTAAGTAAGCTCCTCTGTCCTCGAATGGGCTTTGAAACCGGAGTCCAAAGAACGAGAGTAGACACACCTGAGAGGCAGAATTTTAGGGTGTAAATCACAGTAAGGAAACTTAGAGTACTCTGTAAACGGAGAACTCACTCCACAAACTGTACATTTTAGCCTATCTCTAAAGGTCTACACCAAACTCCAGTCAGAAAACGCGTATTTTTGGTGTTGACTTCCTCAACAGCAACGTTTCATATTCAGCCGACCATTTTCCTGGTGACACTGGACTTCTGCTGAATTCTGTGTGTACCTGATGTACTTAGCTTTATAGTTGTACTACATTTTAGCTGCAGTCGACAATTTAGCAGAAGAAGGACAGTAAAAATGCCAGTTTAACTGGTTGTACAAGTTCTGTAAAGATTGGTGTCGCTTCATGCACTGAAGAAATGTATTAATAATGTGTGAAATATCTGAAAGCACCACAGCACTGTTTTTTACTTGTTTTAGTTCAGCTCAGTCAGGTTCTGGTCATGATAAAAATCAAAGTCAAATCAAATCCCTTTCCTTTTTAATTTGCATTATTTAAAACCTAGCATGGTGTACACTCTAATGTCAGTGGTTTGTAAATTAAGCAACAAGGTCGCCATAATGGATGTTTTTTGTCCCCCCTTAAATTGACAGACACCAGCCAAACTGCACGCCAAGCTTCACCAGTCATCCAATTTTTAGAACATAAATGCAGCTGTAATCACAAGATTTTAATGGAATTTGGTGTGTGGGCCTCTCTAAAGTGTGATCAAAAAAGAATTGTGGTTAGTAATATTTTTAGATTCTCATTGGAACTAAAAGCCTTCAAAGCATCCAGTATTATTTAAATGATGACATTGCTTTTTGGTGTGAGGAGCTGCAGGGTGCTATTCAGACCACATTGCTAACATGCCTCGTTGGTTTGGAATCCACTCTGGGACGGGTCAGGCCTGCTTGACTTCTCAGACATTTTTTCCTTTGAAATTTTACTCTGTTAAAATCCAGCTTGAAAGATTAACGGCTTGGTGAGGTAGGAGTAGTTTGGGACAGCCAAATTGTAAAACGGGACTTGTAGGTGTCATATATTACCTGTTGTGTTTCTCGTCATAAATGCTTGCAATACTTGTCTTTTCAGAGTCTTCGATTTTACAGTTGGAAGACCCCGACTGCGAGGAGGGAAGCAACCCGCCCTGCGAGTCGGTCTTTTCACTTAATGCAGAGAAGATTCTGGTGAGATTCTATAATTCTGCAATTTCATTTAGCAGATGCTTTTATCCAAAGCGATGTACATCTGAGAGCAGATACAACACGAGCAAGGATCTCTTCAGGACAATCTAGATAAACATACTTATCAGATATACTACTTATCAGCCACGCCTGTAACCGTTCCTTTTAGAATAAAAACGAGTTTTTTTTTAGTCAAGCTACACTGTGTGATAAGACATTCCAGCAACAACGACTGAGCAACCAATGATAATGCTTCCTCTTTTGTTTTTTATACTTTAATTTAAAGTATTGTTAAGACATTCTACTGTGTGCATGTTGTTGTCTTACACACATTCTGCAGCTCTTGGTTTTGTATTCTAATATCGTAAACTAAGCGTGAGCAGCAGTTACAGAATCCCATTATTTACACCACACAAGTGTAAATACTGGACAAATTTGCTGCATGCAAAGAATGAACAGCCTGCTTTGGCTTGTAAGTCTGATGCATCTCCGATTGCTGGGTGTGGTTGGGTGTGGACAACACTCCTACATCACTGCTTCAAGGTGACAGCCCCTGAAGGACATCGATATTTGAATGGTTTCATCTTTACAAGAACAAAACACCCTGTCGGGTACAAATTCAAGAGCATTCAAGAATATGGCTGCTATCACTTGACCATGTGCCAGTGCTCTGACTTTGTCATTTTGATGATGTTGCTGCTGTTACTTGTTATGTAAGGCTATCTGATAATATAAGCAGGACGAGTCTTTGCCTTGTCATTTGTCTTGTTGCTGCTTTGGAAACCCAAAATGCTGCCACACGCAACATTTCCATGCTGTCAAATTTGCATACTGTAATGACATTACGCAGCTGCCTTTCTCCATTTGGGATTACATAGTAAATACAATGTGACGCTCTCAGAGGGAGAACAAAAAGTAGCCTCTTAATGCAATACAATGAATGTTTGAATAGAATTTGGTGGGTTCTGCTTATGCATTCTGCAGCAGTGATTCAGATTGTGTTTGTTTAAACCTCTGAACTCCAAGCAGTTTCAGTATTTTTGTTTTTTAGCACATTATTACTCACTGTGTGGTCATTTTTTACTGCAATACAAAGTCCTGCACCTCTTTGGAAACAGCACAACCATGGCTAGAAGGAGAGGGAACCCAAAATGTCTTTTGTGCAGTGTGATGTATTTTTTCATGTAATAATATATAAATTATATACTTAAAAAAAACTACAACATTAAAACGAATCATTTATTTTTACAACAATGTGAACAATCTTAAATAAGCACGTATAACACATTTCTTCGTGTAGCACATTTCTGAATGAGACCTGATAAAATCTTAATAAAACATCCCGATTTTAAAGTTATTTAATTGATTTTCACAACAGAACAGCACATCACATAGGATTAGTTCATCGACTGTCAGAAAGTTAAAAAATGTCATGATTTTTTCTTTTTTTACAGTTTCTGTCTCTGATAAATGATTTAATTTTGGCAGTTTTTTAAAGCGATAACATGCCTTTAAAGCCTGCTGGTGGCTTTTAAATATCAGAGGGTTCAAACCTGGGTACAAGCCAACGCTGAAGTCTATTGAGTCTTCTGTGCATGTATTTGATTTAAAACATATACATGTAGCAGCATGCATCCCTGGCATTTAAATGGCCTTTTTCTAGGTTCTATAGGGCTTCATTCCTCAGTGTAACCTTGAGATGTCCAGGAAAGCTTGTTAAATCTGCAGTGTAGATCTTTTGTCGCTCTGTTTAGGCAGTGAGATTAGTTTCACAAACACTGCTATTGCGTACTTATGACGTATGCCTTTTTGTAGACTGTAATTTTCCTCTGAACTGCCTGTTTTATTATTTTGTATTTGGAGCATCAGAAGCTTTTCTTGGACACTTCCGAGGTTTTCCCACCATAGGTCTGCAATACTCCGTCACTACAGTTACTCCCGTCTTAAGCTCTTACAAAGTGCTTGACATAAAATGCAACCATAGCTTTGTTTAAAACCCCCTTTCTGTGTGATACGGAGCGATTTACCTGACATTGATAGGCTTAATCAGCACTGTGTAAAATCATTTTACATAATTATCAAATGTGCATTTTTAATCGTAAACTGTCTCAAGTTTCTAAAACTTTCAAGAAATGCCTTAAAATGGAAAACACAAGTTTCCTACGCATCAAGACTCAAAGTGTTTTTTCTTTGTTTCTTCTTCAACCAGACCGTTATTTTTTTCACACAGGAAACCTTTTTTTTTTTTTTTTAGCTCTGCATGTCCGTGCGGTCTCTTGACGTATGTTTCTCTTCTCTCCTGCTTGTGTTTTTTTCTTCTTGTCTCCATCTCTCACAGAACCAGGCCAAGTTGTTTATAGAACAGAAAAAAATCCCCTTTCCTGTAGATAACCATAATACAAACGAAGAACTTGGTAAGTTAACATATTGCGTAAACCCAACATCTTATTTATGCTACTACAATTTACTTTTTCATCACTTCATCACTTTTTCTTCATTTTCTCTCGTTGCAGCTATAGGTTACGTTCTGATAGGCAACGGTCTTTACGATGAAGCCATCAAACACTTCTCACTCCTATTACAGGTGTGTGTGTATCCAACATTAATGAATATGCCTTTTGCGAAAATTCGCTTAGAGTAGATATTTTAGAAATGTAAAAATTCTACAAGGCACAAAACACAATCTATTTCTATGTGTCTTCCTAATGTGTTGTTCTTTGGTACAGAGTGACCCAGAGCTGGTCAGTGCCATCTATGGGAGAGGGATAGCTTATGGGAAGAAAAGTCTACAGGTGAGTGATACCTGCAGAAAGTTTTTGCACTGTATGGCATTAACACTGGATATTTTTTGGCATCATGATTTTATTTTTAATATTTTGTTTTATTTCTCCATATTGTCCTTCTTGTAAGGTGCCACAGTAGGAAAGTTTACATACACATCATTAAAATACAGTTAAACTGTGCCACGTTGATTTTGAGCAGGCTTTCACATTAGTTGTTGTCATTATTGTCATTATGTGTTTTATTAAGTGTCTGCAGGTCATTAAGAACATTCACATAGTCAGAGACTGAGTAATTTATTTATAATTAAGGAATTTCTTTCCAAATGAACTCATTGTGTCACAGAGTGCATAGCCTTTATTTGACAGCCTTTATTTGCATTAAAAGCTGAGTCTACATAGCAAAACCACTCACATTGAAATATCCATCCATCCATCCATCCATCCATCCATCCATCCATCCATCCACCGCTTAATCCTCACTATTTGGTTTAAAACAAACCATCCATTTGCTCAAACCGTCACTGTGTTTAGGCAGCGTGGGCAGTTATTGTCTGTGTGCATTTTTTGGATGCCTTTGCTGTTTATTGTCTCAAAATAAAAGGAATCCTGAATTTTTGTTGATGGCAGCAGTTTCAGGTAAACGCAGAATGACTCAGTGTGACATTGAATGAATGCAAATTCAATCTGCCAGGATGCTGCGGTTATGGAAGTGTGCCCTCCAGAAAAAAACAACAAAAAAAGAAGTTGGACAGCAGTTTTTGTTTTTAGTACTTTGTGGCTAGGTCCTAGTTTTGTGCGCTATATATTAAACTTTATGTCAACAAAATGTCACCGTCTCGTGTCTCCATGCCAGGATATAAAGAATGCTGACTTGGCGTTGTACGAGCTCAACAGAGTCATCACCCTCGAGCCGAACTGGCCAGAGGTCTACGAACAAAGAGCAGAGGTGAGACCTAGACTGTGGAGAAAAAAACCCCGAAATGACTCAGTGACAAATGTACTAGTATTTCCTTCGAGAGTATATTTTTACAGTGCTGTAACACTACAGCTCTTGGCTGCACTGAGTCTAATTTAGCTGAAAACATAGTTCAGTTTACAACTTAGATGCCCTCATTCTGTTGGTTAGCTAATTTCTGTTCTACTAATTATTTACTTCCTATCTGTCTGATCATTTTTTTTTTTATCTTTAGTTGTATAGATATGTTACAGTCACACCTAAAAACATGACATGGATGTTCTGTTTCTGATACAGTCAGAAGTTGTAGTGTGCGAAAGAACAGGAAATATCATGTTGCAGATTGCTTTCTGCGAGCAAAGGGAAAGAGCATGACAGTTGTTGTTGTATTTGGGAACTTTTAAGACACATTTTGTCACATTTCAACAATAGAAAGACCTTTAGTAACCAACCTAGCAGGAGGTGCAGCTGCCATCAGCCAAACAGAATATAAATAAGCTGTGAATGTACTCTGATGCATTTCCACTAATGACCAATCTGATCCCCACAGCTTCTATGCATATTTAGGAGGTGGTAGCTGATTTAAATGATAATAGATGATAATATAATAAAAAGTGGTTGCATTGTGTTATTAACTTTGATGTTAATGTTCCTCATGGCATCATTCAGATGAACCCACTACAGTGACAGAAAGAGCCACAGTACGCATGCATGTGGACCTGAACGGTACATCAAGGGATGTGTAATACATAATAATGCTCCAGGAAACAGAAGACTAAATCTAAACTAATAGCAGTTTATCAAACTGTGCATGCTGCAGGTATTTAATAAACTCAGAGGAAAGACTCCTACAAACAGCTGGAGGCAACAAGCTGAACTTCAGCTCCTGTTAACGTTTTGTCAAAAGCTGGATTACAGTCGGTGAGTTGGTGAGTCTCATTGATCTGACAAGCTACAGTTCATCTCCATCACAGTACAGTTTTATTTTTATGGACATTTAAATTTATCATGGATGTGAAATTCTACAGCAAACTGAATGATAAGGGCTTAGAAACTTTTCAGTTTTTTGTGCTCTCTGTGATGCTTTTGGACCAATATTGGTGAAACCGACATGTTCAGTTACCATCAGATTATTGTAAAGGAGTGCACGTCTGAAAGGAGCCTATGTGAGTTGTTGCGTTCAGACGTCACGTATACAGCATATATGTGGGAATCAGTGAAGAATGTAATGCGGCAACATCTATCACCTTTTTTGAGCTTTAGCCATCATTGACTAGAAAAGAAAATAGCAATTAAAACTGGCAACATATGAATAATGAAGTTTGGAAATTTCTAAAAACAATCATTGTTACTTGCACAAGAGAACAGAAATTATATAGAAAAATATCCATATTTTTATGAAGTAAGTGTTTAGTATGTATAAGGTAAAGTTAGGAAGCAGCATTAGTCGTGAGTTAGTGGTTCATCACAGTGTTCAATGCTGTCCAATGAACACTAAAAGGATTACATTGTTCGCTAAAAAAAGAACCTTCTCCCCCCTCCCAGATTTACCTCTGAGGCTTTTTATTAGCTGCTTCCTCTTTGTGCAAGTGACATTGGACGTGCACAACTGTTATTATCAATCGATGAACACAAAGACTGTGACATAGCCGTTGCATTTTGGTAAAATCATGCATCAGAAAACTCTGATACTGAAAACTGTTACTTTTAAAACAAGAATGTGTCTAAATGTTCACTCCACCGTTTCCTGTGAAGGACGAGTCTTCTCTAAAAGAAATAACTGTGCAACTGAATATCAATCAAATATATCTTTAGCTGTAGCAATCACACCAGATATTCATATTCTGCTTTATACCAAGCAACAGTAAACAAAAGTTTATCATTCCTAAAGACTGGATTTTTGCAATTACAAATAAAAAGCTGGATATTGACAATGTTCTCGGACTCATTCGATGTGTTTGTCTGTTTAGATCCTGTCTCCTCTGGGTCGTATCAGTGAGGCTCTGGGTGACCTGACCAAAGCCATCCAGCTGCAGCCCTCAGCTCGTCTCTACAGACACAGAGGGACACTGCTCTTCATTTCAGAGGTTTGACTTTCAAATGTACCACATCCGCATGGTCAGCAACAGGATTCAAATAGGTTTAAAGCTTTCATTTTAATTGTTTTCTTTTACTTCTTCACAAACGGGTAATTTGTCTCTCGGTTTAATTTGTGATTACTCATGTTTGAGTTGTTGATTAAGAATTAGATTTGTGGGCAAATGCTACTCAGATATTACTCATTATTGTAATTCTGACTTGTGTGCTTGAGGTTGGACTGTACCATTGGTGTCTGGGGGAGGAGCCTATAGCCAGCCATAGAGCGTACAGTGCAGTTGTGTTATGTGTAATGTATTGGCTACACCACACACTGTATGCTAGGCTTTATATGTCAGGCATTTATTAAACGGTAAGACAATTTTTCACATCCTAACCCTCTCATAATGGAGTAGCTGATAACTTATTTCATGGTGCTACATAGGTTGTATAATGTGACTGTGCTTCTGGGTCCTTGGCTGCCTGTAGATCCCCCCAGGTGCTTATTGTACAATCCAACCTTGAGCACAAAACACAGAAATGAAAGCGAGAATAGTGACTCATTTTCTATTTATGCTTTGATTCTGATGCAACAACCCAAATGTTAACAACTAAGAATTAAACTGAAAGATAACTATTTATGGAGTAAAACAAACAAAAAAAGGGAAATAAAAGTTTCAAACCCATTTTCCATTTAATTCACTTTGCTGGTGCAAATTGAACAAGGAACTACAGAAGTGTTAAATGAACCCTGAATATTTACACTTGTCTGCTTGCATGTGATGAATCTGTGCTGTGCCTTCTGTCCAGGACTATGTTGCAGCTATGGAGGACTTCCAGCAATCTTTAGAGCTAAAGAAGAATCAACCTATCGCTATGCTCTATAAAGGCCTCACCTTCTTCCACAGAGGCATGCTCAAAGTAGGTTGCTCACTGGCTCATTACTCATGTCGTTTTATCCCAGAAAAAAGAAATAAAAAATTTGTCTGTTTATGTGTTGAATATTAAAGCCTTTTTGTAGCACAGACATCCCGTTAGAGAGCCTGCAGTGTGTGATCAACACCTCATTTGTGCTTTCTATCTTTATCTGTTCATGTTTAATCACAGGAAGTGTTTTTTTTTTTGTCTGTGGACATCACAAGAGACCTTTTGTTTACTGTAAACTGTCACAGCTTGTCTCATCTCACCGCTGGAAACATAACAGCTTTTTGCGCATAGGGACATAGATCTGCACATAAATCATTTAAAAACTCCTAAAAAAATATGTGCGTCTTTGTTATCTATTAGATTTACAGCCTGCAGTATTAAGGCATAAATGGGAAGTGAGGTGAAATGATTGATACGGCATAGTCAAGTAGGACATGGACTAAACTAAAACCTGTAGTGTTGCATATTTAAGCCAAGTTTTTAGAGGAGAACATATCCCAGTGCGTGCTCTGATTCTGTTTTTGTCTGGCCTCGCTGAAGGAGAAGGAGGAGGAGGTTGCTCTGTCACACCACAGTTTCCTGTAGCTGTTTGTGGTGGAGGTACTCTCCCTTTGCTAGTGCTACAACAAACAGTAGCACGTTTTCAGCTAAACCTCAGCGACCCTTCAGGATGTTATTTGACACATTAAAGGCCATATTTAACATAGTTGGTGCTGTTGTTCAGCACATTTACAATTAAAAGCTTATCTAAGTGCTGGGTCTGCCAGCTAAATGAATAAACATACGTGGAACAGTTAGTTAGTTTCTGAAGACATTGCTCTGTGCACCATGAGGGAAGCTGATATTATCGATGGGTTAAATGATGAAACATCTAGATAAGATAATGCCTAACTGCCATTTATGTTGTCATTTTGACGTTGGCCCGAGCCTGCTTCACAGTGGTTCTCACTCTTGTCCATGATGTGTCAGATTAAGTGGAGTGCTTCTCTGCACGCAGGTTTTCAACCGTAAAGCTCAAGGGGTTTTTTGGTGGTGTTTATCACCTCTGTTAAACCGCTTCTAAATGATTTCCCGGGGGGAATCCCTGTGAGGCACCTACAGGCATCAACAACAGAAGTACTTTTGATGCTACTTGTTACTGTGATCATTGCAGAAGTGTGATGTACTCTGAGAGTGAGAGCTGCACTTGTTTCATGATCGTGGATTCTGTTGCAGCAAGTCCACATAGAAACAAAGTCAACATTGCACATTGTGGTTTTTTTTTTAATCGGGACAAACTGCCCCAAAGGCATGACTTTTCTGTAATGAAGGAAATGTGTGAATAGTTTGAATATGTCCTTTGTTTGCTGATAGAGTAGGTGCTCCCGTTTTCACTTCTTGAAGCAGTTTGTAAATATTTAAATACTGTTTTTTGTGCCAAGCAAAAGTGGCTCAGCTCAAGCGATGGCAGTGTTTGTCTGTAGCTCGAGTCAGACTGAAATATCCCTGCAGTCAACACGTGGATTTCAATGTAACTCTGCACTGACCTTCAAAGCCCCTTAAAGACTTGATCCACTGACTTTCCCTGTGGCGTCACCATGAGGTTGATGTTTTTGTTTTTTCATGAAACACCTCAAAAGCTGATGGATGGATGGATGGATGGATGGATTGGGTGCCATGAAAACTTCCACATGCCTTGGTCCACCACAATGCTCCTTTTCAAATTATGTTTTGTGATACGCTTTGCCATCAAAAAATTGCAGCTCCTGCAAGTTTTGAGAATATTTCAATTAACTGTGTAGCTCCAGTTTTAGAGAATCCATTTTAATAACTTTATTTCAGTTCTGTGTGTGTGAATGGTCTGTAAAGTTCACGCCAATAGGAGTGTGTTGGTCCCGCTGGCCAATCAGAGAGACAGGAGCTAAAACAGAGCATTTCAGGCACTGTTCTCACAACAGTGTACAGTTTGAGGAAAGTAATGTGTTTTTTGAACATCAAGGCATGTAACCATATTCTAGTTGACCCCAAAAAGAAAAGTATAAACCTGTAAATGTGGATAATATGGGCTCTTTAACTAGCAAAGCTTAGCATGCCATAATGCTAAACTTGGATAGAGAACATGATCAGGATGTTAAGGATTATTGGTTGATCAGTTATTTGTCCTTAATAATTTAACAGTTTAAAAATATGTATTGACCATTAAGCAGAAGCCAAAGACATGTGGGTCAGAAAATGTGTTGTACATTGGCTGTAGTATCTTGTTGCACCACTGGGAGCCTCTTACTGTTTGATTAGTGTTTAAAAGTGACCCGAGGACGTACGGGTCACTACAGTTTTAAACAGCGGTTCTGTGTTAGTAGGCTGAGGGCATTGGGGGAATTTAGCCAGCAACAGGACACCATGACAGAGACTTCTGTTGCGATTGCATCCAGTGCTCCTGTTTGAGCAGACTTTCGGATAAGATAATTTTAAAAAGTTTACATCTCTAGGATTTGCATTTTAACTGTTATATCCTGGCCCCACATTTGAGTTACATTTTGATGATGGGTATGCAAACTGCAATTCGTGGATAAAATCTGGATATATCTATTCAAGGTCTGAACTACCTGCTGAGTCAGAATTTTAGGTCTGTCCTTATGTTCCCTATTGCAGTTTCCTGTTAGCTCTGTGTTGTCACTCTGTGTGAAAGGTTGTTGTTTTCTGTCATCAGGAAGCCATTGAGACATTCAAAGAGGCGTTGAAGTTGAAGTCTGACTTTATAGATGCCTATAAGAGCCTTGGACAGGCCTACAGGTACAGACACTTTGCATTGTGCTTTCTTTGATTTCAGTTCACTGTTGTAATGAAACGTAGCCTCAGCCATGAATACAGAATGACATTTTTATGTAGAGAGTTTACCTTTTTCCATCTACCTCAATAGCAATATATCCACTGTTGCTCTTTTCTTCCTTCTTCCAGGGAGTTGGGTGATTTTGAATCAGCCATGGAGAGCTTCCAGAAAGCTCTCATGCTGAACCAGAATCACATCCAGTCTCTCCAGCTCAGAGGCATGATGCTGTACCACCATGGCTCACTGCAGGAGGCCATAGGCAACTTCAAGGTAGAGTAATTCACAGTGAGGGGAAAAAAAACGGTTTCCTGGAATCCTTGTACTGTAATTTTCCAATTACATAACGGTGTTAATGAATTAATATGCAGTGTAATTCTCTCATTTTCCTCTCTTCTTCTTGTCCTACAGAGGTGTCTACAGTTGGAGCCTTACAATGAAGTGTGTCAGTACATGAAGGGGTTGAGTCATGTGGCCATGGGACAGTTTTATGAAGGCATCAAAGCTCAGACTAAAGTCATGTTGAACGATCCTCTGCTGGGACAAAAGGCCAGCTCTGAATACCTCAAAGTGAAATACCTCAGAGGTCTGTGGGCCTACACCTGCACACAAAAACACATGCAAATAACTAGAATATATTAGATGTTAAATAAACAGTTAGTGTAGTCAGTGTGGGGCATGTGAGGGGAATGAGTAGGTGTAAAGACTCTGACAAGGGTCAAAACGCAACGGCCAGGTGGTTAGGTCAGAATATCTCCAGATTGTGGGGTGCAAACAGTCAGTTGGGCCGACTACCTTCCTACAGTTGTCAAAACAAGTGACAGGGTTTTGAAGGATGCGCTGGAACAAGTTTAATGTACAGCGGCTCCAACTCTGTGCTTATTAGACTGCAGGTGCCTGGTCCCATAGGGCACCCTCAGTGGGCTTGCAGAGTCTTGTTGAGATGGAAGCTGGAGGAATAACAGGCACAGGTGTTCATTGTTGTGACTGAAAGACTTGTATTCATTAATTGATATGTCAGTATTGATGCTATTAAGAATTTATAATCAGATGTCTTATTAACAAAGTTATTTATGTATTTATGTTGGTTTGTCAGTGGAGTCCAGACTGTATCAGGTGGTTACACTTTAAATTTTATGAAACTTCCTGATTGTATTGACATGCATACGCACTTTATTTTAAAGAGGAGTATAT